TACTAGGAGCAAGAAGCTACTAGGGGCTCCTGGCATCGCTACTAGGAACAAGAAGCTACTAGGAGCAAAGGGTATCGCTACTAGGAACAAGAACGCTACTATGTTTGTCGGGCGGGTCGGCCAGTGGGCGGGAGAGACTGGGCAGATTGCTGCATTGCTAGCACTTATGTTCGAGTAGAAACTTGAGGTATTTTGCTGCTTTAAGGACTCTCCATTATCTTCACTCAAACTCTCTGAAGTGTGAGCTATCCTGCATTCAGTAACTAGGAGCTTACTCAAGCTACTAGCTTACCACTTCGGCTTAGCGGCCTACCTTCACCCATAAAAAGGCAGAAATAACAAGATTATAACATAAGTTCACATCTCCAACAAGCTTGATTTGTACCACTTCCTTTGTTGGTGAGTCGGAGTGTGAGCATTCTGTTGATGTTTGGTGCAAACTCCACGGACAAGAAGGGTAAGCAATAATGATGCTCGAATTCTTGAAGGACACTAGCTTCCTTAAGTCTTGTTGATAATGCCGCCCATTTGGTGCCTCAGGTATTCCTTTTTGGTTGCAAAAAGCAGGCCACTGCCAAACTTGCACTGCTGAGCAAAGGTGACACACACACACACACACTCATTGTTCTCAGGTTCAACATCATTTCCTTTTACCGAGGAAAGGTCGTGGCATGGGAGGACCTTGTTTGGTGGTTAAATGCTGTCAAGATTTGATTTGACCATACAAACTAGGACCATTTAGTGCCGCCTGCGGCGCAGAAGCTTCGAGAGGAACCTCTCTCAGATTGACAGTATCCGACGAGTGTAGATGAGACGAGTTTAAACGAACCCGACAAAGTATGCTTCTCAGGCGGAACAGTTCGTGGACAAGCTGCGGCCAGCCAAAAGAACAGATATTTTGCAGGCAAAGTGTACTCGCATATTTGCAAAATGGGTACCGGGTACTGGTTACTGACTGGTACTGATACAATTGCCATGCATACTTGGCCGCGAGCTGAAACTTTTTGACCACCGTTGCCCATGCCCATGCACATCTATACAAGGTATCGCTGGTCCATGTGTTTTTGAGGGGGTGGCCGTGACGAAATACAGGGAGAAAGGCAATCAAATAGGCAAGTAGCTACTAGTAGCGAGGCAACGAAGAAGCTGCCTGGCACTGGGAAACCTCTATATAATTTGGGAACTTTCACCTTCACAACGCGGTGAAGATTTGTGAGTGCATGTTGGAAACTAGAAATGGCAGGCACTTTGCTGGGCACTTGACAGCGATGCAGCAACGGCCTTGGGGATTCGATCTTGTGACTTGCAACTTTGGCCTTGTGGAAGCGAGGACTCGATCTACTTATTGACGTCTGGTCTCCCCAAGTTTGCTGACACAGAAAAGACCTGAGTAGTGAGGCCGCTCACGTTGGACACTGCAGTCAATCTTGATCAATGCTGCATGTGAAAGGTAATTGCAGACTGTCACGGGGCTTCCTGGCTTTGCTCAGCCTTCACTAAGGACTATTGTCGTGCAGAAGTCCGCTCGCAAAACAAGCGACAGCTGTCGAAGCTCAGAAATGTCAGCAAGAAGATTAAAATAAAGTACAACAAATATGAATGCCGTGTGATGCGTATGAGTTGGCTTTGCGATGGTCGAAGATGAGGCCAATTCATGTCGTTGGCGTAGAGTGTGAGGCGCTGCCTTACAAGTGTGCTCGAAGCTTTGCTGTGCTGTAACTTGCCAAGGCTCAGGCTGAAGTTGAATTGAGACGACTCGCAGAGGAGTTCAGCACTTAGTTGACAGTGTCCGAAGTTGTGAGGTGTTTTTGTTTCAACCCTTCTTCGAAATATGTTTTGGAATGCCATTGACATTGATATTGCATGATATTGCCATTTTCCCTGAACTTCTTCATCCTGACCAAACCAGCTACCTGCTTGCTAAAGCCAGCGATTTGTGTGACACTCAAAGGAACCGCGGCTCATTTCGCCACAAGACTTTCCATACAAAGATGCTCTGTTCTCAGGGTCGAATAGGTCGGAAGCCATTGGGCGCACTCTTCAAGCAACTTCCGAGGAATGCTATTCATTGCTGTACGCTTTCGTATCCTCTTGCCATCACTCGCACCAGGTGCACAGAGGACGGTGTGGAGATGTTGAATCCAGGGCAGGAGCCTTAGACACCAGCATGAAAGGGACTGACATAGCCGCAGCCTTTTGAGTGTTCTTTTCTGGAACAGCAGACACAAGCTGATTCTTCATGCAGCTTCTCGCCATATTAGCACTGGACAGAGCCAGGGCTAGACAGTTCCTTTGTTAGGGTAGGTGCGATTGGTGGTGCTGTTGTGGTGATGGTGGGTCATGTTCTGAAGAGTGAAGTTCCTATCATGTTGGTGCTACGCTCTTTAATTCATGCCTAGAACTACATCAAGTATCATCAAGTAAAGTACCATGTTACAAGGGATGCACAGTTGCCAAACTTTGGCTTGCCCCCATCAAATGATGGTCATGCTTGAACCTGAACTTGAAGTTGATTGCTAGCAGTTGAGGCGATCCATTCCTCCACGTCAGCGTCTCTCTGACAATAAGTTGTCTATTGGTGGGCAAATTGAGATATTGGAGGTCATGATCAAGGAGCAAGAAATCCAGACAACAGATTGGTTGGAAGAGCAAACATGCGCCAACCGAATCCTATTGACCACAGCAAGTCAACATCCTGTGCCCAATGAAGATCAGGCTCGATATGTGGCAGGGCGTTCGGTAGTCAGCCAACTCTGCAACGGTGCTCCAGTCCCGTTGCGTGAGCTCCTTCAGATGCCTTTGGTTCCAAAAGGGGAAACGCAACCTCCTGGAGCTCCAATGCTCCCGAAGGCATCTCGGAAGTGGAGGGAAGGTCTCGTGGCGCATGACATGCGACGCCCCTCCGTTCACAATCCTGGGGACCGGCCAAGTGGAATTGTCAAGACATCTCAGGCAGGGATTCACAATGATTCATTTGTGGATATTTGTGGTACTGCTGACTTGAAGTCTTGTCAGTCTTGCGCTGCCCTGCAGGTGGCTTCAAAGGGCAAAGCCATCCATGCCAGAGTTGCTTCGCAAAGGAGTGAGGCACATTCGATCTACGAATATGCTCGTTGAAGCCCGAATCGGGCTGAAGAATGCATAATTCTTTCGACGCATTTGTGCTGTCAGTGACTCGACTTCATATTTTACGAAGTCAAAGAAAGCAGTCAATGGCAGGCTCTTTTACCTGAACATAAGCATTGAATTGATGCTGTTCCAACACGGAGTGGCATCATGTCACCTACTCAGCCGTAAGAAGCTGCAAACAGGAGGGCCGTCGTTTTGTGCAAACTCTCAGTTCGTCATTTGGTGCTGCCCAGCTGCTGATACATTACCACGCACCGTGCAACTTGCAACACCTATGTGGCAACACACGAATGCCTCAAATGCAGCTGGCCACTATGCTGACTCGACACTCATGGGATGTCATTTGATGATATCTCATTACTGATATTATACAGAAATTGATTTGCATGATATCGCGTATGTATATATATTATATATATATATATTTGCAACATATATATATATATTGTTATATACTGTATGTAACTTTATGATTTGAGTTTTGATCGTTCTGCAAAGTAGGGCTGTTTATTCATGCAATCCATGGCTCAAGCCGACCGGACTGCACGACAGCAAGCACCGCTACTGCACGACTACACAGGCGCAGAAGAAAGGTCACTAGCGCTGGTGCCTTGGTTCTTGTCGAAAGCAAACATGACGTGCCTGGCCGAATGAGTCCATGGCATTTTCTTGATCAGAACAAAAACCTTTGAAGCCTTGGAGGCAATTTGCAACACGATGGGCAGAGTTCATGAGATCATCGTTGAGAACTTCAAGTGCGTTACATAGAGTTTCAGTTTCAACGCATTGCTTGGAGGAATATTAATATTTCGCTACCAATTGCTAGGAGGATGTGTAGGCTCTCTTAGGAAACAGACTAGCTTTCTTCTACAGGCTCCTTGCAGAGAACTCCATATCGGCGTTTGTTTGAGAGTCTTTTGCAGCTCCTTTGCCGTAAATGAGCTGCACAAGGTCCTACCAGGGCAAGGTGAAGATTGGGCCCTTCAGGTGGACGAATTTGAGCAGCGGGAAGTCCAATCATGTCAAATCTCCAAGTTTGAACATCCCTTAAATTAAAAAAACACTACAGAACAAAGACACAAACAGTATCAAAGATGATGCAGGTGCACAATCTGGCACAGATACCTTTCACACACAGTTGCTTTTTTGTGACTTCTTACATCAAAACAACAAGTGCAGAGCGACATGTTACTTGTTGCCTTGTCCCCTCAGTTTCTCACCAGCCTGTATTGGAGCAACAGGAAGTTTACTTGCATCATCGGACCGAATGGAGCGGGCAAGCTGAGCTCTAAGTTGCAGTAAATGTGTTTTTCATGTTTTCGATTTCGACCTACAAAGCATGAAACTGGAGTTGACAAGAGTTACGCTACATAGAGTTATATACTCTATCTTCCTTTGTCATACATATATACTTAATTCCTTTGATTGGCTGCTTGGCCCCTTTCTACCATTTTGCGGTTGACCATTTGGTGTGTCGTTCAGGGCGATTTCTCCTATCCATTCTTGACACCTAGATATGCACAGGCTTCCGGAACCAGGGTTCCTCCTCCACGTGTAGTTTGAATCATATCATAGGGCTCATAGAAGGCATTTTGGAGTGGGATGCAGCTGGATGCATAGACTTTTTGGGGATGGTTGGAGAGTGGGGTTTGTAGAACCCCGAACCAATGGACAAGAGGTGTCCGAAACTCCTGAAGCACTGACTCACGCTATTGTTACCAACTTCCGGTATTCGTGAGGTTCATATTCATAATCTGATTCATAGTTATTCATAATAATATGTGTATTTAGTATATAGATGAGTCCGGTTGAGTGAATGTGTGATGAGTGAAATGTTGTTTCTGTCTAGCCGTAAGATCGGAGGCTTTTTGATCGGACAGCAGGAAGTACCATCCAAAAGGCTTGCTGCCTCAGGTCAAACCTCATGGATGCCATCAGCTTTGTACTTGGTGTACAGGCGAGCTTGTTTCATAATATTTCATGTACTTCACTGCTTAGCTCTGTACCTGTTGACAAAAGGTAGGAACACGGGTCATACGGGTTCCATCCCTTTTAGACCAGAGTGTCTAGGGCCGACTTTCTGGGCTTTGGAAGGTTGGCTGGGGAAGCCTTAGACAGCTTTGATATGATCAAAAAAAAGAGAGGCAGCGCTGAGCTACAAGAGGCGCAAGTATGAGAAATCAAGTGACATCCACAAAGATCCCAAAAGTAGGAAAAGTACAATGCTGCATTGGGCTTGAATGGATAGGGAAGGATTTACATATAAAATCATATATATATAGATACATATGTCCCTCGGTTTCTTGAAGTACAAACAAGTAGTCAGAAAGCCAGGGGGGCAGACATTTGGTGCCCTAAATTGTGAAGATTTCTTCAAGTTAAGGCTCTTAAGACCTCACAAAGGAAAGCAAAGACGGACCATGGAAGCTACTAGACTGCAGAAAGCATATCAGGGATCGTCTAAAGCAGGGTTGCACGGGGAAGCAGCAGCACCAAGTTGCACAAGAACAAAGAAGGCACCAGAGTTGGACTGCGATAGGCAAGGACCAACCCACAAAAGTAAGTTGCGGGCAAGAGAATGCACCAAGCAATATCAGCCTATTTAAACAGAAAACAACATTCATAGATTAGATTAAACAATATATGTAAATATGACATAGCTTCATACATACTAGAAAGGATAAGCAAACAAATGCTACTCAGGGGCCAATCAAGGGGTTATGCAGAACCATAAAGTAGAGTGCAAGTGGACTGAGGCAGGACTCGTCCAAGCCATCACTTTATCAAACCAAGCATGGTTCGTCAAACCCTGTGGGGCTGGGGAACATTATAGAGGCGATTTGTAGTTCTTTTTTTTGTCGGCCCAGCGCTCGCACTATTCGTTTGGTTCCTAGATTCGATTTTTAGGGACATTCAACGATCGTATATAGTCAAGCAATCAAAGAATTGACTCCAAGTCTTTAGTCCATTCAAGTTGAGCCTTTGCAAACAAGTTCCAACGATTGGACTGCTATGGTGAAAGGTGTCTCAGCTGGCAAATCTATGTCCAAATGATTCTGTGCTTTTCATCCAATCTGTTGACAGGCGAGGCAACTGCGAGGGGAGCGTGCGCGAGATTTGGTGTATTGCACAGAGAAGGAGGCGAGAGTTGAGCCAATGAATTTGAGAGGCAAGAAAGGCTGCTTGTCCATGGCACACTCGTAGGATCCAAAGAAGAACCAGCCGAGCCCCCAATGCTTGTCATGAGCTAGAGCCTTGCCAAGCAACGTTTGACAAGGCGCACTGCATATGTCGAGCTCACTTATGTCTACCTCTCAGAGACCCCTCAGTTTGCTCATGTTTCCTCCTTTGGTAGCGATTGACCTTCCGCATGGCAAACACCTTGAAGCCTTTGGAACTTTGAAGGTGGATGACCAAGTTGAAAGTGCCGGTGAGCAAGTGCTCGTATTTCGTATGTTGCTTAAAATACAGAGATTGAGATGATCTGTTGTGAACAAGTGAATCCGCAAGCCAAACATGTGGTTCTTAAGGACGCACCATCACTCGCACGGGTGAAGCAAAGTTCCAGGCTTTGCCAGCTTGCTTTTCGTGTATTATTTTTTGGTCGCGGGGACAGGCCGCAAAGAACGGTGAAGTGGATGTTTGGTGAACGAGTAGTAAGAGGTAAGATGAGGATAGATGCGGCAAGTAGTAAGAGGATGTAAGAGGTAGGTGCGTAAAAATGCTTTTGGATACTACCGCGTAGAAAACCTCATTGGAGGCGTGGCAGAAGCTTCCTTAAAGAACCCTTCACTTGGTGGAAACTAAGCGGTAGACCTTTTAATTGTCTTTCCTTTATTTTTACCTGTTCCTAATGTTTAATATATATTTTTTATCGTTTCGATTTCCTTTAGTCCATTCTGGGGCTTTGCCGGAGGTTAACAGCGCAACGGTCTCCCAAGCAGACTACCAAAAGCGCCTCGAGAGCATCAACATTCTGTCTAAGGCAGATCTAAGCTTCTGGTGCACTGTAGTATGATGAAGTCTTTTTGTTGCTTTGTCCATATATGCTGGTGCAAACTGCTGACTAGATTTTAGTGTTTTGTTTACATTTGTGCGATCAGAAGGTAAACGCGGTGGTTAAATAGAGCAGCAGAACTGCTCAAGTACCTGTTGCGAAGCAATAGGAGCGCAAGAGGCTGGCCTTAATCAGGGACTAACTGCAGCTAGCTGGCCACGAATCACCACAAATCAGCATCACTCACGCACCAAGCATTGCAACTAATCCACCACCTGCCAGGTGAGAAACTTCCTGGTGTTCCAAGGAGATGTGGAAGCGACAGCACAAAGACAGGGCAAGGACCGCACGTAGTTCACTATGTTTGTGTTACTGCAGAGTGTATGTGGAATAGAACAATCCTCTAACTCGGAATTGTGTTCATCGGTGTTGTCATTGATCTATTTGTTTTGCACTTACGTGTAGTCATTATTGCACCTCAGGAGCTCACTGCATTCTTTGAGCAAATCTCTGGATCCGACGCGTTTCGTCAGGCACGAGTGTTTCATCTTCAACGCCACAGCCATGGAAAGCCGCAAAGGCTACAATGTGTACGATCCCCAAAACTGCCGGATAGCTTGTAACAACAAAACTTTGTACGCAAAAACCTAAAGGGAACCGACGAGATGCACAAGAATTCCTAAGAAAGTGTGCTCAACCTGAGCTCATCCTTACAAGTAATGCTGGGCAAACCTATGCAATAGACCAGATCCCTGAGAGGCATAGGTCACCCCCAATCTCAACTCAGCCCCCAGAAATCAGATTTCGGATGGGGGTTGGATAGGTTTCAGTGCCTTGAGGCAGTTTGGTGGTCCCATGGCTGGAAAATGACCAAGAACAAAGCCAAACAGCTATTCCTTTGGCTTGTGCTTGTGTGTGTGTGAGATCAGGAGTATTCCCCCGCAACTCACCTGAAAGCTTTCATCTTACAAGATGTTGCAAGTATTGGCAAGCCACATCCCATCGTTCAATCAAGATAGGAAACCACTGAGCGACCAATACCTTGGTTTGTGCCAACGCCACCAGTAGAATGCCAGGAGTACGACCGCTTGGCCACTGACAAGACAAAGCTCGAAGAGCAAGCAAGGCGAAAGATGTCAAGCGAGTCGAGTGAAAGCTCAGAGCCAATTTGGGGTGGTTTGTATATGTTTGCATCACTAGTCAAAGCTACTCTATCGCTGATCACCTCGGAGGTATCTCTTTACAAAGAAACGCAATGCCATCAATGAGCGCAAGAGAGTCTCTCAGCAAAAGGATGAGGCTGATGAGTGAGCCCCCCGCGAATGTGCTCACAGTGTGAACACAGAACAGCCTCACATCGCTTGATAGATCTTGATAGCAGGGAGAATCCCGTAGCTGGACAGGTGGACAGCCTCATGTGACCTCACATGGTCCTTCCATTCCATTTACCTTTTCCAAGCAAACATTTGAGATATGTATACAGTATAGATTTAAGGGCTGCCGCCCCTGCCGCCGACCCCGGGACTCATCAAGGAGCAGGAGTACTGCAGCTTGCAGTCGGCAAAAAGCTATGAAACAAACCGATCAAATTGGACGGGTTGTTCAACAGTTGAAGCAGGTACACTTCAGAATGCAATAAATTACTGTAAAGCTTTCAATATTCTCACGATGGCTGGCGACAAGACTTACGATCAAAATGGAAACTTGACGGCTTTTCCCAATCTAATTCTGGTCCAAAACGAGCCTCCCCTGGTTCCACTTTGGGTGCCAAACGCCGCCTCTGAATCCCTAGAAAAAAAA